TATGTTTTGGCAAAAAAAAAAAAAGGCAAAATATCCCTCAGGGGTGTATTTGTGGGTCACATGTGGGATGGGAGATACCGTGGCTCTCCACCCAGCACTGAAAGCCCTTAGTTGTGTTGTTGTGTTGCTCTGCTTTTAAGAATAACTAAATTAAACTTAAGACTAACAGAAGTGACAGATTTAGGAAACATAATCCATGAAAGACAACAGAGAAATGGCTCACTGTTGTCTAGAAAAACATGAGGTAGTGAGGCCATTTTTTGGCCCTTTTCAGTTAAATTTGTTCATAGATTTAGGCCGCCAGTTCTGTTTCACCTGTGTAGGCTGTGTGGTTGCACCACACTGTGTGTGATTGAACAGGTGCAACAGGTAGCAGTAAAAACTCTTGTAGCTGGGTGAGTATTGTCCACCCCATTCCTGTTAGATGGATTTGTGACTTTGCCAGTAAACAGAGTCGTTTTTTTCCAGGTTGTGATTCGTTCTGTTTGTTTTTTAATGGTTCCAAAGTAATGTTAAACGTTTGGAAGATTCTGAATCTATGCTAATTTCTTAACCAATTCTGCTTAATGTTTCTGTTATCTGTGGTGTTAGTTGTTTCTTCTTTATGGGCATGAAATTTTTATTTTTTTGAGTGGATTCCTTGTGACTTCAGAAACATGGAAGGATTTGAGGTTGCTTGTTACTAATTAAGCATTCTGTTAAACTTCAGCATGGAAATTTGAAGACCATCTGCAACAACCAAAGGGGTTATAATCCTTTCTACTTTGTAGAAGTCGTTTTTTTTCCTGTGCAAAGCTCACGAAACAGACTCAGATTTAGAATCTCTAATTATCTTGTTATAATAATGTGAAATGCTTATTTTACTTAACAGATTATAAAAATAGGTTTTGATAATGTGTCTGTGAGAACTGTCTTGGCTCATTGTTGCCTGGGTGTGTGGTGTGCAGAAAGTCAGAAATACAGTGTATTTAGCAGTGGTGAGTTCCTATGGAGCACGTTCTGTTGAGATATCTGACATGTCTGTTAGGGTCTCAGCCAGTGTTTAATGTACACTTCCTTCTACTGAATTCCTTGCATACAGAGTTGTTGCCACAAAAGTTCCAAGTTTTCCCAATGTTGCA